AATGATCTTGATCTTCAATAAGCTCTTCTTGGTAAACTTGCGGATGAAAAACCAAAACATATATGTATATATATATATATATATAAAATGTGTATGTGTGTATATGATTGAGCTTGAAGTATTTAACACACATAATATAAAACCTAAACTAATATACCAAGCAATGATCTTGATCTTCAATAATCTCTTCTTGGTAAACTTACGGATGAAGCTAGGAAGTGCTTTTAGACTTGAAAGTATTTGCTTCAATCCACTATTCTGCCAAGCTCTATTGGATATGATCGTGAATGCTCGGTTCTATCCAATCTCCAACTTATTATTTGTCTAGAATACCTAATAAGAAAACATAAACACTAAACAAACAATATTAAGAATTGTTTGTAATCATCAAAACAAGATTAGAAAATGTAGGCTCATAACAAGACACCTAACAATCACAACAATAGCATCTTCAGTATTCTTCTGTGTTTCTTCAGGTCCAAATAATTTTCTCAGATGGAGTTTGTAATGCTTCAAGTAATCTATGTTTGGCCATCGATATTACACCCTGGAGGCGAAAATGAGAAGAGCTAGATTAAATTGTTTTGTTAATAAATGTTGATTAATTTGAAACCATAAAAGATTAGGGATTAACATACAGCACTTGTGGAGGTTAATTCATCATATCCTGAAGAGGCTGTTCCAAAACTGACGTCATGTTTGAGCTGTGCAGGAGTGAGATTGTGGTCCAAGAATGCTGGAACTCTCGTGGAAATACCCAAGGATTCAGCTGCACATATGCAAAATTTTCTATTTACATGATGTTGAGTAATGAATTTTAATACTAAATTTACGAGAAAGTAACAAAGAGAGAAATTACCTTCACATTGGATCTCATGGCAAACCACAAATAGAGCTGAAAGATAATCATGTAATTAGAGATTTAAAATGTAATAGTCACTTGAAAGTATACTCTACATCCTCTGAATGCACATAAATCAGAAGCAAAAAAGTATGAATAAGAGTGGTTCAATAATATAAAAACTACAAAGGATCAAATCCATACTTTGTAGGCACTTGCAGTCTTAACAAATAGTTTTCCTGACTCAGGATTAGGAAGCTTATCTGGATGACTACAAAATTTTATGGGTGGTATCTAATATCTAATAAGCCAACTCCTGCACATTACAAAATAAACTCTTAGATCACATATCAATGAATACTTGAGAAAATAACATTCATGGATAATTGCAAACATGCGTTCAGAATCAAGGAGCTCTCTTCCTCTACTACATTTTTCTTGTCACAACCTTAGCCAAACCAAATGGTACTCTAACCAAACCTTTTAAAGAGATTGAATTTACCTTTACAATTCAATTAGAGTTATCGAATTTCGATGAGCACGTACGACGCAATATGTTAAACTATAATTAGCAAATTTGAGTGAAATCGGCTCAGTAAACATAATCAGCAAAATTGAATGAAATCCAGGTATCAGAATGTAACGGGTTCAGAAGAAGACTAGCATTTACATGTCTACATATCAATCAAACTTCATATCTATAATTACATTTAAAATTCAGATGAAGTTATGAGAAGTTAGCATTTTTATTTGTTCTCATATATTAAATGTTCTTCCATAAATTCACCAAGAAATTGCTGATTCAAAGTTTTGGTGACCAATTTTTTTTCTTTCATATATCAAGCAATAAAGACTGGCATTTACATGTCTACGTATCAATGAATACTAAACAAATATACCTCCAGAATCAGTTAATATGCAATAAAAGCTAAAAAAAAGTTAGTATCTTTCTAGTTTAAGAAAAATAAACAAAACTACTCTATTAATACTCTTCCAACAAATTTCCCAAGAACAGATGATTCAAAGGGTTGAAGGTGCCAAATTCATTCTAATTGAACCAATCAGATCGTAGATTATATTCCTTCATATAAAACAATAACGACACATTTACATCTCAATCAAACTTCATATCTATAATTACATTAAAATTCAGTTGAAGTTATGAGAAGATAACAAACCAAATTCCTTTTGGCTCAGTGAATTATTTTTTTTCCCGAAGTAGGAATGATTTTTTCTTTCATATCAAACAATAAAGACACTACCCATATCAATTTTTATTTTTTTCCCTTCATATAACAAACAATAAAGACACATAACCATCTCAATCATATTTCATAACTAAAAATTTTCAAAATTCAGTTAAAAATTCGTCCAAAATTCATCCAAAATAAATAAAAAACAAATTTTCAAAATGTATACGTAAAAAGCTCACATTTTGTTGAGGACGAGTAGAAGAAGAATCAGAAGATGATGAATTTACTTGCTCATCTTGCTACAAGCTAAGAAATTTTAGAGCTTTGCTTCCAGAATCCACAGCAGTACCTGAATCAAAATAAATTTCACAAATTTCAACAGAAAAGTTCCAAAATAAAAGTGTTAGGGTTATGATTTTGAACTGACTCAAGGACGGATGGGTAGAGGAGGCGACGGTGGCGGAGGCGGCGGAAGAGGGCATCGGCGAGGTGGGAGGGGAGGCGACGGAAGAGGCCGTTGATGATGCCGAAGAGAGGAGGGGAATTGATAAGGATCAATGGGGTCTCGAGGAAGGCGGCGGTGGTAGCGGAAGAGGGCGTCGGCGAGGTGGGAGGGGAGGCGGCGGAAGAGGCCGTTGACGATGCAGAAGAGAGGGGGGAACTCATACGGATCGAGAGTTTTTTTTTTGTCCCTGAGAAGTGGGTTTTGAATTTTGAAATCTGATCGGATGTCTATACAAATGAGAGTAGAGAGAATTATATGGGAGTAGTAGTTCCGTGTATTCTTGAAGAAGATATTTGGTAAAATTGACCTCTTTTTGACCCGTCTTAATGATATGGCCAAGAAAAGATCGATATTGTAAATTATTTACGAAAATAGTCGATTTTGCTAATTATTTTTTTTAAATAGTCCTTTTTTAAAAAAAATTCTCATATGTAGAAATCTTATTAAAATAAATAAGATGTAAACATCTATTTTTGCACATTGCTCCTTGTTAAACTTTACGATCAAACTAAGTGACCATTTTGCTTTTTCATATCCAAATTATATAATAAAACTGAATTAAATCTTTGTTGTTGGAAAATATATTCTCTTTCCTATCAGTGTTCATAAGATTACAAAAAAAGGCTTCGGATCGTATTTACCCCTGAACTATTAAAGGTGTCTCTTTTTATCCTCCTAAGCTAATTTTTGTCTCACTTTGCCCCATGAGCCGTCAATTTTAGCACCTAATTACCACTTCACATTAGTAACTTAACAAAGTTGTCATGTGTCACATCTGAGGGCTTTCTCTTATAAATCAATTCCTAATAAAATAAAAAATAGATGAATAGAAAAATAACTATCAGGTGGACCCACCTCCAATCAAATCCGTTCTTTTCTTTTCTCCTTCCTTGTTTCACTTGCTCTTGATTGAGCTTGGAAATCCAAAGAGGATGTGGTTCTCAATGGGGTGAAGATTGTGCGGGTGCTAGAGGCGATTCCACCAGCGAGGGGGAGGTGCTGAAGGTGATTCCGTGGGCGAGGGTTAGGAGAATTATGGAGAGTGTGCTGGAATTGAGCTATCTTTTATATTTTCTGTGGGCGAGGGATAGGAGAACTAAGGAGTGGGTGCTGGAATTGAGCTATCTTTTATATTTTTCGCGGGCGAGGGTTAGGAGAATTAAGGAGAGGGTGCTGGAATTGAGCTATCTTTTATATTTACGGGACGAATAGTCTAGTCTATTTTAAAGAATAATTTAATCTTCGATAAAGAGTAGTAGTTCCATGTATTCTTGAAGAAAATATTTGGTAAAATTGACCTCTTTTTGACCCGTCTTAATGATATGGCCAAGAAAAGATCGATTTTGTAAATTATTTACGGAAATAGTCGATTTTGATAATTATTTTTTAAAAATAGTCCTTTTTAAAAAAATTCTCATATGTAGAAATCTTATTAAAATAAATAAGATGTAAACATCTATTTTTGCACATTGCTCCTTGTTAAACTTTACTATCAAATCTAAGTGACCATTTTACTTTTCATATCCAAATTATATAAGAAAACTGAATTAAATCTTTGTTGTTGGAAAATATATTCTCTTTCCTATCAGTGTTCATAAAATTATAAAAAAAAGGCTCGGATCGTATTTGCCCCTGAACTATTAAAGGTCTCTCTTTTTTATCCTCCTAAGCTAATTTTAGTCTCACTTTTCCCCATGAGCCCTCAATTTTAGCACCTAATTACCACTTCACATTAGTAACTTAACAAAGTTGTCATGTGTCACATCTGAGGGTTTTCTCTTATAAATCAACTAGTGTGCACCCCGTGCAAAGCACGACTCATTTGTTTTGTTTGCGCTACCATTTATTTATGACCAATAATCCCTAATAACTCAATTGTATTAAAGTAAAGGAATATGAGTTTATTTATGAATAGCATAATACTCGATCTCAATGAAAAGAATAGATATCGACAAATCAGAGTGGCATGCTCTTACCCTATTTTCCATGCCGAACATCATTTTCACTCTTACAATTGAAGAACAAAGCAAGAGAAAAAAAGGGAATATTTGTAAATAAATAGCAATCTGATCAAGAACATCTCCTTGAAATTTGGGTATCAAAAACGTGAGGAGAATTAGAAAAACCCTAGCAAAAATTGGGGAAAATCCTCACCTTTGAGCGGTTGAGAGAGAAACTTATCGTAGCAGGAAATATGGAATTATAATCTTCATCTTTGATACTGATTCATCAAATCATCTAAGTCTTCATATTTTCTAATTTTCTAATAAAATAAAAGGGAAAAAAGTAAAGACAAAGACATTGATTCAACTTTGTTAAAACTGAATGAGTTTGACATAGCATTTATAATTCTTTATCGATTAAAGAAGATAGATACTTGAGATTGAGATATTCAATCAACTCTGTCATCTCTAGCGCATGATTATCCGATACTTATCATCTTTTTTGGACCAAAAAAAAGACAGGATTGAACTTTGTTCAAAATGAGTGATTCACCTGAAAATTCGTAGATTTAGATACCTGATATGGTTAACTTCGATCACCTGAGAATTATAGAGAAATCTTTGTTATACTAATATCAAATGGATAATTATAAAATCACAAAAATCAGGACTTCACCACTAAACCAAACTATATATTAAACCACTTCTTGAAACAACACATTATGTAATAAAAAAAACCCAAAACATACAAAAGAACAGGTGAAAATTAGATGGATACACCTTAGTTTCACTCAAATAATTGAAAGATCGATCTATTACTCCATTTACCTTTATGTTGGCATGGTTCCTTTTGTCTTGGCAGTAGAGCTCAAGCAAGTAGAGCTCTCGGATGAAGCAAATTGAATGATTTGAAAATATTACTCCTTTTGTCTTTCTTTTAGAGCTTTCAAGCACGACCACAACTAAAAGAAAGATGGACAAAAGAAAACTTTAGTTCAATATGTAACAATTATCAGAATATGATACAGAAACTCTACTTAGGTTCCATCCTTTCATCAAAATCCAACTTGTATCTTTACATGCCTGGATTCTTAGATTTTCAATACCCATTAATTATGAATCATGAGAAATAAGACATTAAAATGTATCTTACAACTAAGCATCTAATGTAGAAGGAGTGGGTGAAAATCTTGTTTTAAATCCCTGCTCAAGTCATCAACGCATCAAGAGTACGCTATTCTCTAGTTAAAAGTTATAAAATACTTCGACTATTAGAAACCCTATCGTTTGAAGGTAGAAGCCTAAGATCAGCCAATGATTCTCATTGTATTTGCAGGTTATATAGCAGATGGTGTGCATTCTACAACACTAAAGGTTACATCTCTGTTCTTAAGAAATCTAATAGACTAATTTAGAATACAACACCAACCAATTACACAGATATAAAAAACAAAGAAGGTAAAAGAGGTAAATTACAGAACACCAAATGACATAAAATTTCTTTGTTTATAAACATCACACTTTAACAACATATCTTCAAAATTAAATCAAACAATCATCACTATTTTGTCAAATTCCTCAATATTCAGTATAATAACCATATACAAGAATATATAGGCGTAGAGGTATTTTAATGTTACATTAAATAGTTTGTCAAAATCCTCAATATTCAATATAATAACCATATACATGAATATATATGAATAAAGGTATTGTAATGGTATATTATTATAGTTTGTTCCTATAAATTTTCTTGAAGAAAAATGGGGCAAACCCATTATTATAGAGGGCATTTCAAATACAAATAAATGCACACATACCAAACAAAAGTAAAGATAAAAATATTCCTAATAAAAAGGGAGTAGAGAACAAACCATGAGCATAAACATAAGATGCCCTCCAAGAATAAATATGGCCTGACCTAAAACTCGACCTCGCAATCCTAATTCACCATTTAAAAACAAAGGGAAAAATTCTTCCAGCCCCCAAAAGCCAATAAGACGTGCTTCTCACCCCCAAGACTTTGTCAACGGGTGTTTTGCCCCCAAAAATAAAGAGTTTGTTCTCTAAGCCCCCAAAACACAAAACTCAAGAGATTAAAATATGTGAAGACCACAATACCCTTCTCTCTCTCTCTCTCTCTCTCTCTCTCTCTCTCTCTCTCTTCTCTCTCTCTCTCTCTCTCTCTCTCTCTCTCTCTCTCTCTCTCTCTCTCTCCCTCTCTCTCTCTCTCTATCATGATGTACTAAGATGATAGTTAAAATGACTGACGGGGATTATTTTATTATTTTTGTTTTTTATTATTTTTGTTGTTAATGAGGGGGAACTAACTATTTGTATTTGGAGATTGTTAAAGTTAGAGGTTAATTGTTAAGGTTACGATTTAATTGTTAATATTACGGATCAATTGTTAAGGTTATGGATCCCTTCTCTCTCTTTCTCTCTCTCTCTCTCTCTCTCTCTCTCTCTCTATCATGATGTTACTGTGATGATCTTGAAATCATTAAAGGGGATTATTATTTTATTATTATTATTTTTTATTATTTTCATTGTTGATGAGGAAACTAATTATTTTTGTTTGTATTGGGAAATTGTTAAGGTTACGAGTTTAATTGTTAAGGTTACAGGTTAATTGTTAAGGTTACGGGTTTAATTATTAAGGTTACGGGTCAATTGTTAAGGTTACAGGTCAATTGTTAAGGTTACGGGTTTAATTGTTAAGGTTACGGGTCAATTGTTAAGGTTACGGGTTTAATTGTTAAGGTTATATGTTTAATTGTTAAGGTTACGGGTTTAATTGTTAAGATTACGGGTCAATTGTTAAGGTTACGGGTTTAATTGTTAAGGTTACGGGTTTAATTGTTAAGGTTACGAGTCAATTGTTAAGGTTACGGGTTTAATTGTTAAGGTTACGAATTTAATTGTTAAGGTTACAGGTTTAATTGTTAAGCTTATGGGTCAATTGTTAAGGTTACGGTTTAATTGTTAATATTACAGGTTTAATTGTTAAGGTTACGGGTTTAATTGTTAAGGTTACGGGTCAATTGTTAAGGTTACGGGTTTAATTGTTAAGATTCGAGAGAGAGAGATAGAGAGAGAGAGAGAGAGAGAGAGAGAGAGAGAGAGAAGGGATCCATAACCTTAACAATTGACCCGTAACATTAACAATTAAACCCGTAACCTTAACAATTGACCCGTAACCTTAACAATTGATCCGTAACCTTAACAATTAAACTCGTAACCTTAACCATTAAACCCGTAACCTTAACAATTAAACCGTAACCTTAAAAATTGACTCGTAACCTTAACAATTAAACCCGTAACTTTAATAATTAAACCCGTAACCTTAACAATTAACCCGTAACCTTAACAATTGACCCGTAACCTTAATAATTAAACACGTAATCTTAACAATAAAACCCGTAACCTTAACAATTGACCCGTAACCTTAACAATTAAACCCGTAACATTAACAATTAAACCCGTAACCTTAACAATTAACCCGTAACCTTAACAATTGACCTGTAACCTTAATAATTAAACCCGTAACCTTAACAATTGACGTGTAACCTTAATAATTAAACTCGTAACCTTAACGATTGAAACCGTAACCTTAACAATTGACCCGTAACCTTAACAATTAAACCCGTAACCATAACAATTAAACCCATAGCTTTAACAATTGACCCGTAACCTTAACAATTGACCCGTAACCTTAACAATTAAACGCGTAAACTTAACAATTGACATGTAACCTTAACAATTAAACTTGTAACATTAACAATTAAACCCGAAACCTTAACAATTAAACCTGTAATCTTAACAATTGACCCGTAATCTTAATAATTAAACTCATAACCTTAACAATTGACCTGTAACATTAACAATTGACCATTAACCTTAACAATTAAACCCGTAACCTTAATAATTAAACCCGTAACCTTAACAATCTCCCAATACAAACAAAAACAATTAATTTCCTCATCAACAAAGAAAATAATAAAAAACAAAAATAATAAAATAACAATCCCCTTCAATCATTTCAAGATCATCACAGTAACATCATGATAGAGAGAGAGAGAGAGAGAGAGAGAGAGAGAGAGAGAGAAGGGATCCATAACCTTAATAATTAACCCGTAACCTTAACAATTAAATTGTAACCTTAACAATTAAACTCTAACTTTAACAATCTCTCAATACAAACAGTTAGTTCCCCCTCATCAACAATGAAAATAATAAAAAACAAAAATAATAAAATAATCCCCATCAGTCATTTCAACTATCATCTCAGTACATCATGATAAAGAGAGAGAGAGAGAGAGGAGAGAGAGAGAGAGAGAATGGTATTATGGTCTTCACATATTTTAATCTCTTGGGTTTTGTGTTTTGGGTGCTCAGAGAACAAACTCTTTATTTTTGGGGGCAAAACACCCATTGATAAAGTATTGGGGGTGGGAAGCATGTTTTCTTGGCTTTTAGGGGCTGGAAGCATTTTTCCCAAAAACAAAACCCATATCAAAATATGATTAAAAACAAAACCCAAGCATAAACATTATTATAGTTTGAAGTTGCTCGCAATCCTAATTCACGCATTGAAATCTTTTCTAAATTTGTCTTATATTCATAGTTCATGTGAATCAAGCCTGAGTTGTTCTACACCAAAAGTTTGAAGTTGTTGTGAACCCTTATAGATTAAAATTATCAGTACTTCTGAAAAAAATCATTTACCTATTTTTCCCTGAGTAGGAATGAAGGATGAGGAATTAAATAACTACTTTGATGTATTCAGAAATAAGAGAGGCTAGATAGTTCTCATATTGTGGCTCAGTGAATTATTTCGATCTGTTATCGTAAAAGTAGTAACTTTGGATGAAATCATTGGTGTCTGCACTTATCACTGAAAACACCCTAATGCCACTAAGAAGGAACCCTAGAGGGGGGTGCATAGGGTTTATGCTAATCTAATCCGATTTATACCAATTAAAACTTATTAATAAAAATATCCTAGCAAGAATGATATATTACAAATATATCTGCAAGAATATACAAGTAACACAAGGGTAAACAAACTACTAAAGTGATAGGGCAATATAAACAACAAGCAATTAACAAAGGCGATATAAATGATAAGCACGAATATAAAGGAACGTCAATGACAAACACAAACAAACGATATGATCACGGAGTTCGGTCTCCATGACATACGTCTCCGCTCCTCACCTCGAGGAGATCTCCACTATCACGACACACCCGGTTTGGAAGCCGGAACTTCTCTACACACTCGGTTTTTTAGTTCACCGAAAACTTTATAATCTCACACTCTTGCAATCCCACTTTACACTCTCTAAGTGTTGTTCTCTAGCCCGTGTCTCCCTCAAGTGTTAGGAATTACAATCTACCTCTGGGCATTACTACCTACCCCACTCCTCTTGGAATGACCTCGTTTCTCACCACACACTTCTCTCGGTGTACAAGTGTATTACAAAGTATAACTCACAATTAAGCACAAATACAATTGTTTGTTCCCTAATATAAGATGAGAACTAAGTGTAAGCTCACTCTCTAAGTCATACAATCCTCACAATCCAAATTATATTATGTATGAAAATACAATAAGCTCAATGGTTGTGTGTAAACAAAGAGTATCAATAAAACAATTAAACTCAATAATGAAATCTAGCTTATGGAAATTAGAATCAAAACAATAAATAGCTAGAATTGAGTTTAAGGAAACTTCTCTATAGATAACAAGAGAGAGGGAGAAGAGTGAATGCTCAAACACCAAAGGATGATCTCCTCTTTGCTCTTGTGAAAATTGCTTCACAAACTTGAAACAAACACTAAACAAACTTTAAACACACTTTAAACTTGTTTAAAAACTTTCTTAATTACTAAATAAAACTGAGGATATGTGGAGATATTTATAGGAACCCCAAAGCCAAGAGAAAACAAGGCAAAAAGACCAAAAACCAAAAACTAGAACAAGCTGGAAAAAAACTAACCGTTACAACATCAGTCGAATGACAGGTTTTATCTGTCGACTGATGAGCTGACCGTTGTAGGTATTTTTTAGCTCATCGGTAGACTGACAATCTTATCAGTCGACTGACGATCTCATCAGTCGGCAGGTCAGTCGATTGATAATCTCATCAGTCGACTGGTCAGTCGACCAACATAAAAACAGAAACTATTAATGATTCTAGGTGTTTTCGTCAGTCGATTGAACACTTGCATCAGTCAACTGATAATATACTATCAGCCTGAAATGAACAGCAAAAACCAACTTTAAACCTCATTTAAAAATATCAAATAAATTCTAAAAAATATAAAACTTTGGGGAATGCTTGTAAACATGAAAATGAACATGTTACAAAAACTGGTTTTCAAAAAGCATCTCTCAAATAAGAAATCTCTTTACTTTACAAAAAGGTCCAAAACATGAAACACTTGTTTTTGTCATTTTGAATAAACCATGTTTTGAAACATTACAAAATAATTTTATAGACTTAATAAAAAATATATATTATGGTTGTTAAGTCTATAAACTAGAATACACTATTTTCACATATAAACATGAATATATATATATATATATATATATATATGTTCGCGGGGAAAATTGTGTTCTTTGATTCCATTGTACTCTTGAGTTACACCAAAAGTTTAAAGTTGTTGTGAACCTTTATATATTAAAATTATCAGTACTTCTGGAAAAAAATCATTTACCTATTTTTTCCCCGGAGTAGGAATGAAGGATGAGGAATTAAATAACTACCTTGATGTATTCAGAAATAAGAGAGGGCAGATAGTCCTCATATTGTGGCTCAGTGAATTATTTCGATCTGTTATCGTAAAAGTAGTAATTTTGGAGTCTCATAACAAGACACCTAACAATCACAACAATAGCATCTTCAGTA